GGGGGGGGGGGTTACCAAAATGTTTCCAGATGCACAAAAAATTTTCAGGACATATAATAATTTTTCCGAAAATACAGTTATTTTGCAAATTCACTTTCCCATGTCCTGAGAATTACCTGAATTCCACTGAAATTCTACTTAAATTTACCTAAAAGTGCATTGGAAATCTACCTGAAATTCCTCATGAACAATTATCAGGAGTGTTGCCCCCCCCCCCCCCCCCCAGGGAGTTTCAAGTAAACACTCTCTGATTTATTGTTCATGTATTTCACCTCCCAAAATATTGTGCATCATACTCTAAAGCATTTTGCTGTTGTCATGCTCTAGCGTGGTTCAAATTTATGAATTTTTATTAGAATGTATAGTGTTTTATAGAGATTTCGAGCACTGATAAAAATGATAATCTCACAGTCACATGTGAAAATCATCGCTTTTCAATTATCGCTTTTCTGTAAAAATTATCGCTTTTCAAAGACTGCCCTTTATATAATAAACAGAAAAAAAATTTATTTTTCGTGTTGAACATGACATCTCACTCGTTCGCTGCACTCACTTGTGAGATATCATGTTCAACACTCGAAATAAAGCTGGTATTTCCGCGCACCCATGTATTATTTATCACTTATTTACTGAGACCGAGGGAAACAGTGTGAGTTGTGGACCCGAGACCGTCGATGTTTCCCGAGGCGAAGCCGAGGGAAACATCGACGGTCGAGGGTCCACAAAACACACTGCTTTCCCGAGGTCTCAGTAAATAAGTGTTTTATTATATATCAATAGTCAAAAAAAACAACAAATTAAAGAACAAATGAACGTAAATACATGAAATATTTTATTGTTGAAACGTTATATTAAACACTGGCTACACTGCAGTTACTTAAAGCGAAAGTTTTAGTTCCGTACTAGGCATGTCCAAAGGTGGCACCTTCACGTGATGGCGCACGTGATTTTTTTTGTTATTCGCCGGTGGATAACGTATTATCTCCCTCTCGCGCTGTTGCGAGGGAGACAGCCTAATTTCGTCACTCTCACGTGATATGCTCTCAACCAATAAAACACTAGAAAAATGCGACTTTGACTATTGATATATAATAATCTCAGATATTGAAACTACAACTTGACTGGTTTAAATTATTATCAAGTTATCAGTGATTGTAAAAGTTGCAGATAGAAGTGTTTTGTTAATGTTATATTATTATCAAGTTATCAGTGATCGCAAAACGTCCAAATCCTTAATTTCAAAAGCCCCGCCGGGGCTAATGCACTTATCATCGGCTTCCCCGGGGGTCGACCCTCGAACCACCCAGGGACTTTTGTTAAGAGGATGGAACAAAACATTAACAAAGCCCCTGGGTACAAGGGAAAGGTTAATGACAAAAATCCTGTTACAGCTAGCTCCCTACCCCCGGGGCAAAAAAGCAAACATAACATCCCTAACAAAAACAAAATATTATATAACTGGTGAACTGGATACAAACTACAGCAGAAAAGTAAACGAGCATGTAAAGCACGCACGCTTGAAAGAATTTATTTGCGCATGCGCTGAATTATAAATAATTAGGGTAAGATGAAGTTTATACTATTCGAACTCAATGATTCTTAGATACGAGTAATGTCCATGCAATACAGGCATCGATATCTGATGTCTGATGGTGAAGATGGTGTATGATGGTCGAAGTGCGTCAGATGGTGTATGATGGTGTAAGGTGCTTGTACAGAGAAGGGTTGTCAGATGGTGTATGATGGTGTATGAAGGTCATGCAAAGTGTGTCAGATGGTTGTCAGATGGTGTATGATGATGTATGGTGATTATACAAGGAAGGGTTGTCAGATGAAGATTGTGTATGATGGTCGAAGTGTGTCAGATAGTTGTCAGGTGGTGTACACACCCCCTGAGACGAAGTGCTCGCAACGGCACTGAGTATACATCTTTTGAAAACAGGCGAGGGGTTATTGCATGCATGTATTTCTAGTTTATTATTACTTACATATACTGTGGCCAACCAGAGGATGAGTGAGGGTCTTCCCACAATGCATTGCGTCTCATTATTATTCACAATTACGATTTTTGGCAAACGTTAACGAAAAAGTTGTTGAAATATATTGCGATTTTTGGCTCTGAAGATCTCGTTTTTTC